CAAAGTCCCTTCTCCTAATCCTTACCGGGATTTGCATCATACATATCTGAATTCTAAATCAGTTCCAAGAAAATCAAGTCAACCGGCTGCATTTGGCCACGCAGCATTTTTTGAAAAGAGTTCCCTGGGGCAGCAAACACAGCAAGAAAATTATCGCTAGAAATTACTGTCATTCCACAGTTTTGTAATTAAACATTTTAAGAGTGCTGTTTACCTTTGTTGCAGGACTCTCTTATCAGCTTGTATTCAAAGACCTCAGGAAATTTGCTGGTGATGATAAAACTAGCTCAGCAACTTTGTGGTGAATGTACTCCATTATTGGCCTCAGGCTCACTGCAGCAACACACTCGAGAGCTTGATGTAGTTGTGCTGGAAGGCGTGGCAAAGGCACGTTATGCTCTAGCATTAGTTGCTGATTTTATGTATAAGACTGCAGTCGAGGACAGAGACAAAGCTCCTTGGAATGATCTGCAAATTAGAAACGAGTTGGAAACCCTTTTTGAAGGCGTGAGACGAATGTGCTGCCAGGGTTCGAGCCCAGTTCCTCGATTGTACCTGCTCAAACAGTTGGTGAGAAAGTATGGTGTGGAGGCCATCCATGTTTTGTGTGGAATAAAGGCGTTTGAGTGGATTGTACCTCCTGAGAACAGAGACAAACAGGTAAAGTGTTGTATATCCTTCCATATCTTAGATGTTTCTCTGTAACTTTGTTATGCAGAATTCGTTTTATTCGTAAAGATGAATCGAGAGATTTTACAGGGTCTGTGTGTGGGAATATCGAAGATAAATCAGTTGCGTGAATGTGAATCTTGACATATATGGTTACCATAAACGTAACTATATCACTGGTATGGTCTTTAAAACACCCTTGGTTCAAGGTGGTTGCAGTAACTATATGAAGTTTTCTAAAGCATTAGTATTTTCTTTTCAAACACCTGCGTGTTAAGAGCCTTAAGCATCTTTTTCTCTTCATTTTTTCCTTTAGCAGCTAATATTTATTTTTCTTTTCCAGCAAGAGGATCTTGTCCCTGATAGGTTCGTTATTTATGGAGAAGATTACAAAAAGGTCAGAGAAGCCATGACTAAAACAGTCCTTAGTGCTACGCACCGGGAGTTAACTGAAGTGCTCCAGGTATGAAAGCAAGAAACAGCGTATGCCTGTAACGAGAGAGCAAAAATAGTCCAGTTTCGAAAAATGACTTAAAACTCATCTGTACAGTGTTAGTCTGAACACTTGACTTCAGGTTCAGACTAACTCTCTACAGATATGCTTCTTTGATGTTTTGTTAGCGGCCTTGGTCCACTCGAATTTGGACCATTGTATTGTTGTCCGTTTGAAAAGCAATTCTTCGGGGAAAGTAAATTTTAAGAAAGGTGAAAGACCGCTTAAAGCGTAAAGTACTGAATGACGTGTGTGGAATATATTGCTGTTTGTTTAAGTAAGTTTTTTTCCATAACCTAAATACCAGCTCTCTGTGACTCCAGACAGGGTATGGTTTTCTACGGTTTTAGTTTGAAATAGGTTTATACGTCCAAGGAAAACACTCCAATGTTGCCTGTTTGCTAACTTCCTATGATGAAATCTTTGTTAATAAAAAATATTGTTATATATCAAACACCTTAAAAACCCGATCACAAAATCTGACATGAAAAAGGTCATTAAGAGTGAAAATGTTGTCCAACTGACTATAAACTTCCCGTTGCATTTCAGAGCACTCTCTTACCACCTGTCGTGAGGGATGTCATGATGCTGTTGTCTGAATACCGTGAGGTGACCACTTGTTATGGCTTCAGGTCCATGCAACGACGGCTCTCTGCAAAAGTAAGTGTCGGCCAAATGCTCCATGTATGTGAACTCATCATAACCATGTTATCGAATAGTTTGGGATATGGATTTGAGCAGGCCAGCACCTCTTAATTTTGTTCACCTTGAAGTGCTATTTCTCGCTACTGCTGTTCTGTTAAAAAAACATGGTCAGCTTGACTAACTCATGATATTTGTCTTATGTATGGGAAATCCTGAATTTCTTGCGGACTTTTTAAAAAATAATAATAAATTTATTTATTTCAACACGTTGTAAAACAGTTAGAATTGCACCAGATTACTTGATTACGTTTTACTCTCCTACTTACAATTGTTGTAACAGATAAAAGAACGGTTTCGACACAGAATAAAACTTGTTCATTTGACCTTTGGATAGTAAAATAGCTCTTTGTACAATGATCTTATTCTTAACATAGTTTAAAAACTGAGATAGGCTTTTAGTTTTTAACCCAAGCCCTTGTAGAAAAATGTGTCTTTTACCTAACAGTGCGGGCGTTTCATTTATCATTCCTAAGCCGTGGTTGCTTCTGAGATCTATGATCAATCGTTTTGCATATCTTCTCAAGCTAAAATACGTTTGAATACGGGTCCTGTCAACTAATTATCTCTTTGTTCTGTTTTGCTGTTTTAGGCTCACCAATGCTTTCAAGAATTTCTAAAGGATGACGCGCATCTTTCTGCCAAGGTGAGTCAAAACAGAACATTTCGCCTGTGAACTTCTCCTTATGACGTTTTCTCGTGGTATGAGGCATGAGACATGCAGCTGTCTATTAAACAATTAGATTATGATCTCGAGATTTCTATCGTGTGATAGTTGACTCGGGCTGCGCCTTCGTCAACTATCACGCATAGAAATCGAGAGCGAATAATCTAATCATGATTGTTTTAGTATAAATGTATTAGTCGTTCAAAACTTTATCGGAATCCTCTTCACAGACACTTCGAAAACGCCAAGAAACGGCCGTTATTTTGTTGGCAAGGGCACATTGCTACGCTACTCACTATCTATCACAGAGTAGATAGTGGGTAGCGGAGCCAATCAGAGAACGGCATTCGTGATAGAACGCTAGTAGATTTATACTAATATGCTATATATTAAGTTCATTGTTTCAAAACTGTTTTCAGGCCCAACCATTTGCCACCCAACTTCTGGACAACACTCAAGGTGCCGCTGGGTTTCCAGGCGTCCGTGTAGCTCCTGGTCGCTCAGCCCTGGAACAGAACCTGGCAGAAATTGTCATTCATACTACAGCAGTATTACAGTGTATTAACCAGATGACTGTGTGTGAACCACTGCGACTGCTCATGGACAATCCTGCAACGTTGATGGTACGCTTGCGAAAACTGTGCCCGTGCTGTGTTATTGCGTAGATTTTAATAAAATGAATTACAGAAATGGGAATGGTAAAGCCATAAAACAAAGAGAATAGCGATTGGTTGTAAACTTAGCCCACGCAATTTTGAAAACTTGTGTTGGGTTTACCTCGTCACCTCTGTCTAACATCAGTGCAATAGGTAAGGCAGTGGATTTTTTTCGAATAAGTCGTATTGGGGGAAATGTGGCTGCCTGCTTTCTGCAATGCCGCTAGTGTCATTCCATAATAGGGTTGCAGAAATATAAGTGGACATCTTGAAGAACAGGAATAGAAGTGACGTGGAAGTAGGCACATGTTTATCCAACTGGCTCGGTAACTATAGAAATTAGGGCCAAGGGCAAAAAGACTCTGTACAGCTAAAGAAACATAGCTGGCGGCCAATTGAAAGTCAAACTTGTACTTTCTATGAGCTACAAACGTCTGACGGGGATCTATTTTTTCGTCTTATAGCATACCTTTTTTCCAACAATGCCTGACGACAACCTTCAAGAAGCAATGGCAGGAATGCGAGAGTCTGGTAGCTGGTATCGTAAGTAGCTCTTCTTGTGCATTTCAAAACATTGTCCTCGAAGTTGTTAAGGAAGGGCTTTTTGTGACATTAATTGACTTGTTGTTCTTTTTGCAGAGTGCCCAAAAGGACACCCCTATTACATTGGAGATGTAAGTAGTACTCACCTATTATTATTCCCTAAAGTGGTTTCGCTATCCTTTGGCCAACAACACTTTGATAACAACACCTTATCAGTCTCGGCCTTTTTTGAGCGGAAAAATTGCTGTCAATGATCGTCAGCTACCACAAAACGTGCGTATTTTGACATCGTATACATGCTTTTACAAAAGTAATTCTTGGTTTTCATTGTTGGAACTTAGTCTCGTTTCCAAGTGTCATTTGCCGCTATGCCTACTGTCCTCAGCCCATGCAACCAATCAACCAATTTCAATCATTTCTAATTTCTTTCAAGACATTGAAATGTACATTGAGTGTTGGACTAAAAAGTTGTTAATGTTTTTGTTGTAGTGTGGCCGGCCTGTAGAGGTGAAGGTTTGCCCAGAGTGCAAAGTTAATATCGGCGGTGCAGGATATCACCTCTCTCAAGGGAATACTGCAGCTCAGAGGTATGGCACTTGGCTATAGTTTGTGGTACGTGAATGATTGAAAACATTTCCTACACCTTCTAAGCGACTGACTGACAGACTGACTTCTTTCCACAACCAAACTCTCTGTAACGTTTAACTGTTTAGACTTGATTGCAACCTCTAATCATGCTCTCTTTTGGTTTGTAGAGCTGATCGTACCATGACAGGTCACGTGCTTGGCCATCCTAGTGCCAGGCCCAAGAGTCTTGCTCCAGAACGGAACTTGTCACCTGTGGTTGTTGGCATTATAAGGATTCTTATGCACTGTGCCATGATCGAAGGGGCCTGTCGACAACCCCAGGTTAGCTTTTTATTAAACCATTAGATTTCCTATGACACGACAGGCTGCTAAATCGGATCTTGTGTCTTTCCTATTTTCTTTGCATAGGGCATCTGTGCTCTCATCAATCCCAGAGTTCCTCCTGCGGCGTTGTCACGCTTTTTATGGGATCACTTGCAGTTGGATGTAGAACTTCTCGCCAGTAGCCTGGGAAGAAGCATAGACGATACAGTGCTCTGCATTCATATGGTTCTGGTACAAATGACTGCGCACCTCTCAAATCGTAAGATTTGAAACGTAACAAATTTTGCAGATTTGTTGATTTCGTATTACGTATTAACTGCAGCCAGGCTGGATGAGCTGGTGGACTACTCAGCTCAGACTATCACGAGACTTGATTTGGGTTGCATATTACGAAATTATATAGAGATCAACAGGATAGTTTTTCGAGTTGTTGTAAGAAATGTTTAACCATGCCTCAAAAATAATTTATTGTTTGCACATGGCCAGTATAGATACAGAGACTTTTTTTTTCTTTCCGAGGCTTTCTCTTATAAAAAGGAGAACTTCATAAATAGAATATAACCTTAAAGATAATTTAGTGCGCAGACAGAGGACATGATCAGAGCTCGAGACCACGAAACGTTTGTTTTATGGTGGTCTTGATCGAGTACAGTAGTGTTGACCGTTTCCAAATGAGTAGTTTGCTTATAAGATGTTTTCACGCCGACTTGTTATTGTAGCACAACAAGCCTTAAACGTCGCCTGCGATCTGAAGTCTAAAGAGTCTCGGAGAGACTGGGAAACAGCCTTTAATGCCACTGTTGTGACTCCACTGTTAACAGTATGTATGATCATTTGTAGTTTGGTTTTGAACCATTTACGGTGGTTTAATTATTGATATGATTTATTTCCTTTTCGTTAAGAACCTCGAAGAGAAGATTCAACGTTGTTTGCAGATGTTGGTCGGCGACAAGCGACTAGGTAAGTTATGTGAGTGGTGTATGCTTAACAAGACAGCACTAGTAATGTGTGCTGACTTGAAAGGTCATAGGAACAAGTGCTAAGCGACAGCGACTTCTGGTCTCCAAGACCAGGCTGAGTCCGCTGTTTTCATATCGAAGTCGCAAAGTTTGTGATCACTGTTGGAGTGTGAATACTTCATCGTAAAATATGTCTTACTTGTGATTAGACGTAACTTGTTTTGATCTGGTGTAAACGCATTATGTGTTACGAACATGTTAGCGACGCTCTTTCCTCGGGACACAGAGCCGTTCTCCCAGTTTTACTGTTGTTGTTTGTTTGTCGTCAAAAACTGTTCAACGTCATTCCTCTATCTCTTTGAAATTAATTAAAGCGTGTGTAAAGCCCTGGGAATTAAGAGAAAATTTAATTCCTTTCTTTTTTCAGGTAATAATCCCCTGATGCGCCAGCTTTACGAGGTTGATGTCCCTCCCGAGGCCCTGACTGACCGTGTTCCTCCCACCTGCCCCGCCCTGTGGAGGTACAGGACTCAGGTCACACTGGATCACTTCTCGCACACTTTTCAACAGGAGGTGTCGTCGACTGATTCTGAGAGCAACAAAGTACTGGCAGAGTTTTTACGTCAGGTAAACCAATTCAAATCGTATTTAGTCATCGCCTATGCAACAAATTAACCTCTGCATTTAAAGTTTCTTAGTAAGGTTAATTGACTTGAAAGTTCCCGAACTGAATCCATTGTGGCGGGAACTTTAACCTTGCGTATGATTTAGATGTCTAGTTTAAAGGAAACTTGCAGCATACTTTTACCTCGAAAATCTACAAAATGAACGAGTATATGTAACAACGAGTGATTACTTAAAACATGAAATAAATGTCCATGTGGCCTTGTTTTATCCATAGGAACACAAACTCCGCGCCCTCCGTTTCCTGCCAGATATCGTAAAGCTACAGCGCCTTCTCATGGACAAATTCCACCGTCGAATTGACAGAACTGAAGCAGAACAAATCAAAATACGAGATTTTCTCCGAAAGATCCCGTCTAGTAAGTGGAGCGTCAAATGATAGATTAATTCTATTACTAGATCATATTGTACTTACGTGTCGTTGTGTGTTTCTTTACAGAAACAGAGAGAGATGAACTTGCGTCATTAATTGCCAGCTTCAACCTTGCATGGAACCATGTGCGGCAAAGTCTTGACCAGCAAGGTATGTTTGGATACATCATCAAGCACACTCATTTATAATTTTAAAAGTCAGTTGAGATGACAAAAGCGCGTAGTCAGAAAGCTGTCTCCAAAGATTGCCATAGCCCTCGGTAATTCGGGAAGACTCCTGTACGTTGTTAAATAGCTAGCATGGCGTACTCTGATGGCGACAAGCTGTGGTAGCTCAGTTTACATCTAAGTTGTTTATGCTATTTCTAATTGGACAAAAAGAATAGATAACACTTTGGTGAGGATGTGATTTAATTTTTTCTCTCCTGGAGGAAGTAGTTACTTTACTTGTCCTTGTCTTTAAACAGGGCGTCTTCGTCCCCCAACGGACTTGTGTGAGAGGACCATGGATAACACGCGTCCCCTGGCTGTACTTTTGCCCAGTACCTCAGGGATGGGTATCTGTTCCACAGCCCTGGTATTTTTCCTCACCACAGTACACAACGAATTCAACGAACGATACCAGAACTTGAATGGCGGGCAGGTGAAGTAAGTACAACTAAATCTTTTGCTTCACCTAGCGTTCAAAGGAGACCGAAGCCTTAACTTCTTATGGGCATTGTTTCGTCTAGTAGGTCGGGATGAATATCACTCAGTGGGATGAACACCTTCCCTGATAGAGTCAAACCAAACCGTCAAACCTCAAGCTAATGTCGAATCTAAGAAAAATGTGGAATGCTTAGAAAGTATTGGACCGGCAATGAAGCATCTGATTGCTTGAATTCATTGATTGTTGGCTGTCGCAACTGTTGTAGTCGTGTAATAAGAAGAATCTATTTCTCAAACTCGCGACCGAATTAGCTGAGAAAGGGTGACAGAAACTAATGACATTCTATTCCGGCCTTTTGTCAGAGACCTGCCTCACATACAGTTGCAAGACGTGACAAGCTCAAATCTGATCTCATACCACACTGAGAGAGATCTGTTACCCCTCATCTTGGCTCAGTGTAACTACTCTCTAGAGGTGGGTCGAGGAACTTTGGTGCAATACAACTGGGAAGCCCTGGAAAGACAACTGATTGACAGGTTTATAAGGGGAAGACCGCTGGTTGATTTCAAGGTAAACTGTACCTCTGATTGTGTCAGTCAGAGCTCTTTGTTACCAGTTTATCCCGTTCGGAATGCCTCTCTTTTTGTAAAAATTTAAATGTTGGTTTAAATTGTTTAGTGGATTTGAACAATTCTATAAGGAGTGCCGCTAGTTGCCATAGTTCTTTCTTTCTGAAGGATTTGGTTTAATAGAACTTGTTGTGTTAAAATCATAGGATGAGAGGTTTGCATTTAGCAAAGACATCCAGTTGGACTCTGTATTCGCTTCAGTAAAAGCCAAGGTTCATCCACAGGTAAAACAGTTTATTGTGATAGCTAGTATTTTCTATCCCCGCCCCCTCTCAGAGGCCGTCCTTCTAGCCAACCATTACCGCCCGAAAAAGAGCGTAATAGACCATTCAGCTACTGACCAATGACCTGCTAGACATTTCCATCAGACAAGCAGGAGTAATATTCAATGAGGAGTCGTGGCAGAGTGGTGAAGGTCTCTGGTTTTGACATCATATCGTTCATTAAGTATGCAATATTTCTTGCTTTCTTTTAGGTTCCGTTGAGTTCAGCAGTAAGTCATCAAATTCTGGGCGAGTTTCGTTCACTAGCAGACATTTGTGACGTGTTGTCGTCTCTGGACATTGCCATTGGTTTCCTGTCCTCCACTGGTGGATCACCTGACATGCCCCTTAATCACTATCTGCAACACGTACTGCGCATGCCTCATCAAAACGGTCTTCGCAGTCTCAAGGTATAAAATCACGTGTACATTGACTCGTTATAAAATTACTATTACCAGTTGTACGAGGGGTGAGTGTTACACTCTGCGTCCCTAGCTTGCAATAGCTGATGCAGTGTTTCCGCAACCTTTCCAAAGCGAACAGGGTGATTCCATTTTTTACTTTGCTTGTTTGAACTCGATTCGTGACACGATGTTTCGAACAACGTTTGTCGCAAAACATAATTCGGTGGTCCGGTTTATAATAAGATTGTAAAGCCAAGACCCAAGTGATAACAATGGTGAACTTGCAGCAAACGTTAGCAAACACGCAAGAGGCGCTAAACGCGGGAACACGAGCGTGATCTTGCGTGATGATGTTTTGTTAGCGGCCTTGGTCCACTCGAATTTGGACCATTGTATTGTTGTCCGTTTGAAAAGCAATTCTTCGGGGAAAGTAAATTTTAAGAAAGGTGAAAGACCGCTTAAAGCGTAAAGTACTGAATGACGTGTGTGGAATATATTGCTGTTTGTTTAAGTAAGTTTTTTTCCATAACCTAAATACCAGCTCTCTGTGACTCCAGACAGGGTATGGTTTTCTACGGTTTTAGTTTGAAATAGGTTTATACGTCCAAGGAAAACACTCCAATGTTGCCTGTTTGCTAACTTCCTATGATGAAATCTTTGTTAATAAAAAATATTGTTATATATCAAACACCTTAAAAACCCGATCACAAAATCTGACATGAAAAAGGTCATTAAGAGTGAAAATGTTGTCCAACTGACTATAAACTTCCCGTTGCATTTCAGAGCACTCTCTTACCACCTGTCGTGAGGGATGTCATGATGCTGTTGTCTGAATACCGTGAGGTGACCACTTGTTATGGCTTCAGGTCCGCACATCGACAGCTCTCTGCAAAAGTAAGTGTCGGGCAAGTGCTCCATATTTGAGAACTCATCATAAGCGTGTTGTTGAATAGTTTGGGATTTGCATGGATTTGAGCCGCCAGCACCCGTTAGTTTTGGTCGCCTTGAAGTGCTATTTGTCACTACTGTTGTTCTGCTAAAAACATGGTCAGCTTGACTAATTAAGGATATTTGTCGTGTGAATGGGAAATCCAGAACTTCTGGCGGGCGTTTCATAATCATTTCTAAGCCATGGCTGCTTCTGACATCTAGTATCAATCGTTTTACATATCATCTTAAGCTAACGTGTGTTTGATTCCGGGTCGTGTCAACTTACTATCTCTTTGTTCTGTTTTGCTGATTAAGGCTCACCAATGTTTTCAAGAATTTCTAAAGGATGACGCCCATCTTTCTGCCAGGGTGAGTCAAAACGGAACATTTCGCTTGTGAGCTTCTCCTTATGGCGTTTTCTTTTGGTATGAGGCATGAGACATGCAGCTGTCCATTATACTATATATTTAGTTCATTGTTTCAAAACTGTTTTCAGGCCCAACCATTTGCCACCCAACTTCTGGACAACACTCAAGGTGCCGCTAGGTTTCCAGGCGTCCGTGTAACTCCTGGTCGCTCAGCCCTGGAACAGAACCTGGCAGAAATTGTCATTCATACTACAGCAGTATTACAGTGTATTAACCAGATGACTGTGTGTGAACCACTGCGACTGCTCATGGACAATCCTGCAGCCTTGATGGTACGCTTGCAAAAAGTGTGGCCGTTCTTCGATATTGCGTAGATTTTAATTAAATGGATTACAGAAATGGGAATGGTAAAGCTAGAAAACACAGAGAATACGGAAATTGTGAGGACGAATAGTTATTTGCCTTGATTGATTTTAAACTTAGCCCACGCAATTTTGAAAGCTTTTATTGGTTTACCTCATCACCTCTGACCAACATCAATGCAATAGGCAAGGCAGTGGATTTTTGTTAAACAAGTCGTATCGGGGGAAATGTGCCTGCCTGCTTTCTGCAATATTGTCAGTGCCATGGGGTTGTAGAACTACAAGTACTGTAAACATCTCGAAGAACGGGAAATAGCGTGGAACTAGGCTCATGTTTATCCAACTGGCTCAGTTTAACGAAATTCCTCTATGTTTGCGGTAACTACATAGCCAAGGGCAAAGTGTTCTGTAGAGTTACGGAAACATAGTTGTCGGCCAGGTGAAACGTGTACTGTCTATGGGTTATTTTAAAGTAAAAAACATTTGACAGGGATCTATTTTTCGTCTTATAGAATGCCTTTTTTCCAACAATGCCTGACGACAACCTTCAAGAAGCAATGGCAGGAATGCGAGAGTCTGGTAGATGGTATCGTAAGTAGCTCTTCTTGTGCATTTCAAAACATTGTCCTCGAAGTTGTTAAGAGAGGGCTTTTTGTGATGTTAATTGACTTGTTCTTTTTGCAGAGTGCCCAAAAGGACACCCCTATTACATTGGAAATGTAAGTGGTAGTCACGTCTTATTCAGTAAAGTGGTTTCGCTATCTTTTGGTCAACAACACTTTGATAACACCACCTTATCAGCCTCAGCCCTTTCTGAACGGAAAAATTGCCGTCAATGATCGTCAGCTACAAGAAAACGTACATATTTTGACATCGTATACATGCTTTTACAAAAGTAATTCTTGGTTTTCATTGTTGCTAGCACCGTCTGACTTAACCCTCGATTCCAAGTGAAATTTGCTGCTATGCCTACTGTCCTCAGCCAATGCAACCAATGAACCAATTTCAATCATTGCCAATTTCTTTGAAGACATTGAATATAAATTGAAGAGTGCTGGACTAAAAAGTCGTAAATGTATATGTTGTAGTGTGGCCGGCCCGTGGAAGTGAAGGTTTGCCCAGAGTGTAAAGTCCATATCGGCGGTAGAGGATCTCTCTCTCAAGGAAATACTGAAGCCCAGAGGTATGGCACTTGGCTATAGTTTGTGTTATGTATACGTAATATACAGCAGAATATTGTATTGTGTGTATTTTCTTTACTCTCCAGGCAATATTTTAGTGCAGTAAATCCTTCGTTAAGTATTACCATGATTATCTTTAGTTGAATGAAAACAATGTGTACAGCATCCAAGCGACGGACTGACTGACTTCTTTCCTTCTCTCCTCCTTGTAGAGCTGATCGTACCATGACAGGTCACGTGCTTGGTCATCCTAGCGCCAGGCCAAAAAGTCTTGCTCCAGAACGGAACTTGTCACCTGTAGTTGTTGGCATTATGAGGATTCTTATGCACTGTGCCATGATCGAGGGGGCGTGTCGGCAACCCCAGGTTAGCTTTTTATAAACCATTAGATTTCCTATGAGCACGACAGGTTGCTAAATCGGATCTTGTGTCTTGTCGTGGCTGTCATTTGATGTTGCTGCTGTGGTTAAAACTAGCAAAAACACTTGGAATCACCCTTATTGCTATGTGGTTGTTAGACACACTGATTTCTTTGCTCGTTTCATTGTGTCTACTTTGTCGTCACAATGTAGACATACAGAGAGACTGACTTCTTTTTGTACCTTCTGACTCGTCCCCAGTCCTCTCGTATGCAAACGTAATACGAGAGTGGGAACCTGTCAGTTCGCGTCTTGTTCCAACCGCTTGTATCTTCCTGGAAAACAGTCTTTATGAGGAAGCTTAATCGTTGCATTTAAGCGAGAAATATTGGACTTTGAAAAATGTATCCCCTTTCCTATTTTCTTTGCATAGGGCATCTGTGCTCTCATCAATCCTGGAGTTCCTCCTGCGGCGTTGNTTTTTTTTTTTTTTTTTTTTCACTCAGCTCAGACTTGATTTGGGTTGCATATTACGAAATGATATAGAGATTAACAGGACAGTATTTTCGAGTTCGTAGTAAGCAATGTTGAACCATGCCTCGATAATAATTTATTGTTTGCACATGGCCAGTATAGATACAGAGACTTCTTGTTTTTTTCTTTCCGAGGCTTTCTCTTATAGAAACGAGAACTTTATAAATAGATCATAATCTTAAAGATAATTTAGTGCGGAGACGGAGGACATGATTAGAGCTGGAGACCACGGAACGTTTGTTTTATGGTGGTCCTGATCGAGTACAGTAGTATTGACCATTTCTAAATGATTAGTTAACTTTTAACATAATTTCACGCCGACTTGTTATTGTAGCACAACAAGCCTTAAACGTCGCCTGCGATCTGAAGTCTAAAGAGTCTCGGAGAGACTGGGAAACAGTCTTCAATACCAGTGTTGTGACTCCAGTGTTGACAGTATGTATGATCATTTGCCGTTTGGTTTTGAACCCTTTACGGTGGTTTAATCATTTATTTGATTTCTTCCCTTTTTGTTAAGAACCTTGAAGAGAAGATTCAACGTTGTTTGCAGATGTTGGTCGGCGACAAGCGACTTGGTAAGTTACATGAGTCATGTATGCTTAACCAGACAATACCGGCAGTAATGTGTCCTGACATGAAAGGTCATAGGAAGAGTACTGGCGACAGCGAATTCTGATCTCTAAGACCAGTCTGAGTCTTCTCTTTTCTCGAAGTTTCAAAGTAAATTAACGATCACTGTTGGAGTGTGATTTAAAAAAAAAGTGAAGCCTTGAAGCCGACTGACTCATAGCTGTCGGAGCTTATCCCGGTTTCTGTAGCCTGAAGCGACTAGGAGTATTTCTACTCCCCCTGGACAGGATGCTAGTCCATCGCGGGTCACTCCTCCGCGATTTGTTTCCCCAACCATTCGTCGGTGCCCATTTATATTCTTGGGTGGAGAGAGGCACTGTGAGAGTTAAGTGTCTTGCCCAAGAACACAACACAGTGTCCCTGGCCAGGGCTCGAACCCAGACCGCTCGATCCGGGGACAAGCTCACTAACCATGGGGTCACCGCGCCTCCACTGGAGTGTGAATATCTCACCTAAAAAATGTCTTACTTGTGTTTAGACGTTACGTGTTTTGATCTGGTGTGAATTAACGCACTATGTGTTACGAACATGTTAGAAGCGCTTTCCCCTCGGGACATAAAGCTGTTCTCCCAGTTTTACTATTGTTTGTTTGTTTGTTTGTTTGTTTGTTTGTTTGTTTGTTTGTTTGTTGTCAGAAACTGTTAAACGTCATTCCTCTATCTCTTGGAAATTAATTTAAGCGTATGTGAAGCCCTGGAAATTAAGAGAAGATTTCATTTCTTTTTTCAGGTAATAACCCCCTGATGCGCCAGCTTTACGAGGTTGATGTCCCTACCGAGGCCCTGACTGACCGTGTTCCTCCCACCTGCCCCGCCCTGTGGAGGTACCGGACTCAGGTCACACTGGATCACTTCTCGCACACTTTTCAACAGGAGGTGTCGTCGACCGATTCTGAGAGCAACAAAGTGCTGGCAGAGTTTTTACGTAAGGTAAACCAATTCAAACCGTATTTAGTCATCGCTAATGCAACAAATTAACCTCTGCATTTAAAGTTTCTTAGTAAGGTTAATTGACTTGAAAGTTCCCGAACTGAATCCATTGTGGCGGGAACTTTAACCTTGTATATGATTTAGATATCCAGTTTAAAGGAAACTTGCAGCATACTTTTACCTCGAAAATCTACAAAATGAACGAGTATATGTAACAACGAGTGATTACTTAAAACATGAAATAAATGTCCATGTGGCCTTGTTTTATCCATAGGAACACGAACTCCGCGCCCTCCGTTTCCTGCCAGACATCGTAAAGCTACAGCGCCTTCTCATGGACAAATTCCACCGTCGAATTGACAGAGCTGAAGCAGAGCAAATCAAAATACGAGATTTTCTTCGAATGATCCCGTCTAGTAAGTAGGACGTCAAATGATAGATTAATTCTATTACTAGCTCATATTGCACTTACGTGTCTTTGTATGTTTCTTTACAGAAACAGAGAGAGAAGAACTTACGTCACTGATTGCCAGCTTTAACCTGGCATGGAACCATGTGCGGCTAAGTCTTGACCAGCAAGGTATGTTTGGATACATCATCAACCACACTCATTTATAATATTAAAAGTCAGTTAATAAAACAAAAGCGCGTAGTCAGAAAGCTGTCTCCGAAGATTGGCATAGTCCCCGGTAATTCGGGAAACTCATGTACGTTGCTAAATAGCTAGCATGGCGTACAAGCTATGGTAGCACATTTTACAGGTAAAGTGTTTATGCTATTTCTAATTGGACTTAAAGAATAGAAAACACTTTATTGAGGATGCGATTTAATTTTTCCTCTTCTGGAGAAGTACATTTAGTACATTTATTGTTTACTTGTCCTTGTCTTTAAACAGGGCGTCTTCGTCCCCCAGCGGACTTGTGTGAGAAGACCATGGATAACATGCGTCCTCTGGCTGTACTCCTGCCCAATACCTCAGGGATGGGTATCTGTTCCACAGCCCTGGTATTTTTCCTTACCACAGTACACAACGAGTTCAACGAACGATACCAGAACTTGATTGGCGGGCAGGGGAGGTAAGTACAACAACTAAATATTTTCCTTCACCTAGCCTTCTAAGGAGACGGGAGCCTTGACTTCTTATGGTCATTGTTTCGTCTAGTTGGTCGGAATGAATATCACTCGGTGGGGTAAACCCTTTCCCTGATAGAGTCAAACCCAACCATCCAACTTGAAGCTAATCTAAAATCTTGGGGGGAAAAAGTGGAATGCTGAGAAAGTATTGGACCGGCAATAAAGCGTTTGATTGCCTGATTTTAGTTGTTGGCTCTCGCAACTGTTCTAGTCGTGTAATAAGAAGAATCTATTCCTGAAACTCGCGACCGAATTAGCTGAGAAAGGGTGAGAGAAACTAATGACATTCTATTCCGGCCTTTTATCAGAGACCTGACTCACATACAGTTGCAAGACGTGACAAGCTCAAATCTGATCTCATACCACACTGAGAGAGATCTGTTACCCCTCATCTTGGCTCAGTGTAACTACTCTCTAGAGGTGGGTCGAGGAACTTTGGTGCAATACAACTGGGAAGCCCTGGAAAGACAACTGATTGACAGGTTTATAAGGGGAAGACCGCTGGTTGATTTCAAGGTAAACTGTACCTCTGATTGTGTCAGTCAGAGCTCTTTGTTACCAGTTTATCCCGTTCGGAATGCCTCTCTTTTTGTAAAAATTTAAATGTTGGTTTAAATTGTTTAGTGGATTTGAACAATTCTATAAGGAGTGCCGCTAGTTGCCATAGTTCTTTCTTTCTGAAGGATTTGGTTTAATAGAACTTGTTGTGTTAAAATCATAGGATGAGAGGTTTGCATTTAGCAAAGACATCCAGTTGGACTCTGTATTCGCTTCAGTAAAAGCCAAGGTTCATCCACAGGTAAAACAGTTTATTGTGATAGCTAGTATTTTCTATCCCCGCCCCCTCTCAGAGGCCGTCCTTCTAGCCAACCATTACCGCCCGAAAAAGAGCGTAATAGACCATTCAGCTACTGACCAATGACCTGCTAGACATTTCCATCAGACAAGCAGGAGTAATATTCAATGAGGAGTCGTGGCAGAGTGGTGAAGGTCTCTGGTTTTGACATCATATCGTTCATTAAGTATGCAATATTTCTTGCTTTCTTTTAGGTTCCGTTGAGTTCAGCAGTAAGTCATCAAATTCTGGGCGAGTTTCGTTCACTAGCAGACATTTGTGACGTGTTGTCGTCTCTGGACATTGCCATTGGTTTCCTGTCCTCCACTGGTGGATCACCTGACATGCCCCTTAATCACTATCTGCAACACGTACTGCGCATGCCTCATCAAAACGGTCTTCGCAGTCTCAAGGTATAAAATCACGTGTACATTGACTCGTTATAAAATTACTATTACCAGTTGTACGAGGGGTGAGTGTTACACTCTGCGTCCCTAGCTTGCAATAGCTGATGCAGTGTTTCCGCAACCTTTCCAAAGCGAACAGGGTGATTCCATTTTTTACTTTGCTTGTTTGAACTCGATTCGTGACACGATGTTTCGAACAACGTTTGTCGCAAAACATAATTCGGTGGTCCGGTTTATAATAAGATTGTAAAGCCAAGACCCAAGTGATAACAATGGTGAACTTGCAGCAAACGTTAGCAAACACGCAAGAGGCGCTAAACGCGGGAACACGAGCGTGATCTTGCGTGATTGACTTTTTTTTTTTATCTCACTTTATGGGTAGGTGGTGTGACCTTTTTAAACCAATCACACAGGACAGTAAAACAAAACCAAATCATTTCCGGGTTACTGTCAATAACTGGTCTAAAAGATTTGCAGAAAGCCGGGTTATCTACTGTAACAGGTCGTAACCGTGTAGACTAAATTGGAAGCAAAGGAATTAATCTCCGGGATTTCAGCATTTCATCGTCGCATCAAATTAAAGGCAGTCCTAGATGTAATCACTTATGGCATAATCTGTACATTTCTAGCACCCCATGCAAAGTCCCCCGAAGCTTTGGGAGAAGCCAGTACTTTACTGTTTGTTCTTTTCTCTTTACCAGGCCCAGCAGTGCTGCCAGTTGCGTCACGTGATCTCTCTCTGGAGACTGCTGACCCTAGAGAGAGCTAGAATGTTAATGAAACGAGGCGAGGTAAGGAACATTGGACCTTTTTATCCCTAAACTAGACATCAAAA